GTTTTACATGCTATGGTATGACTTTTTTCACATACTATACTATGGCTGTTTTATAACATTTTTCAACATACTATACTATGACTTCTTTCTGACTTTTCTTGACATACTATATTGTGATTCTTTCATCACTCTTTCTGACATATATATTATAGCTTTTTTATGACTTTATTTTACATACTATAGGAGGAATTTGTAGCCATAGTATGCAATTACCTTTAATGATTTTTTTCAACACACTATACAATTCTGGCATTTTATACACACTATACTGTGAACTTCATGAATGTTAGACTCACTAAGGCTTTTTAATCTAATTTCAATAACATACTATACTGTTAAGACTGGCTCACAAGCCATAACATAGAGACACCACATCTACGTATATGGATACAATAGAATACAAAATGTATTTACAAAACATAAAGCCTCAAATAAGGAATAACAAAAGGTTGTGTCTTGTGTCAGGGAAGAGAAAGAGCGCATAGGCAGAGTAATGAGACACCTATATAGACCCAGCCCACATCTTCACACATGGACCTTCTATTAGTCTAGGAGCTACACCCAGAACAAAAAACTAAAAAACAAAGTATTTTAAAGTCCTTTTTCGACATACTACACAATTACTTTTTTGATGACTTTTTTCGTACAATTTACTGAGACTTTTTTCTGACTTTTATCAACATACTATGCTTTGACTTTTTTATGGCTTGTTTTTTTTTTACGTACTATGATATGACATCGTGACCGAGTGCGACAAGTGCGTCTAATGTCCCGGATTGCAAGGCCAGCAAAAGATGAGTAAATCATCAGAGCAAGCTATTTCTTTTACATTTCTTGATGTAATCTAGGTCATCTATATGTGCGGTCACCATACATTTAAAAGAAACATAATTCATATTATCATAGACATTGAAATTGGAGCTCACATAGTAACCACGTGGGAAAACAATGTTCCTCCAAAGGCAAATACACCACCACATTCTTAATAAGGAGAAGTTGAGTATTTTGGAAAATAAAGACTTGACATGATAATCATTGTAAAAATGTTTTGCTGTACACTTAACTTGCAACCAGCAAATACTAGCTGAATTATAAACATTAGATAATCTAAAAATAAATACTTGTTCTCTCATTTCAAGTAAAGTAAGTGGTGCATTTAAGAATAAATTAAATAACAGAATGCTTTTGAAAAATGTGGTTCTTAAAATAAAGTACTTCATTTCAGAAAAATGACTGTCGCTGAATTGCCCTGCAGCTTTAAATTCAGTTCATTCAGGGTAAAGTGATGTCAACCAAGAAAACCATGATATATTTTTCTCATCTTCTAAAAAGAGAAATGTGTGTGCAGGGATTTTATCTGTGGTTATTTAAACCACTTGTTTCAGCTCTATTCCTCTCTGTTAACATCATTGTTGGACAGTGAACTAATGTGTTAGGATTCTGATCATATTGGGCTCTTGTGAGTGGCTACGTTTGCTCAAAAGTTGTGTGCTTTGTCTCATAGTGATGCTTCAAATTGCTGCTTTTAATAATCGTCACGGTCTCTGAACATAATGAGACTTACTGCTTTTGAACTGCCCGTATACTCTGCTTAGACCTAAGCGGATATCTATTCTTAGTTTGAGCTTTTTGATACGTCTAGCACCTTATTTAAGATAAAGCCGGGTGGTTATCCTACAGAAACTTATGATTTAATTTAATTTTAGTTAAAAGTTAAGTGAGATCAGTTCTCACTGTATATGTGTCTTAATTATATAATGTGCTGTGTAATTTAGGGATCAGATTCTTCTTTCAAACACTTGACGCTATGGCATGGAGGTGTAAAGCAATATGAATGGTGAACTTATCATACATTCCAGCCTTATAAATGCATTTTTAATAGCTTATGAATGTGCTTATGATGACCTTGAAATAAAATGTTACCAAAGGCGTTTCATTTAATCTTTTGTTATTGCAAATATGACCTTTATTCTATAGATCTGCATTTGCAAGTCTGAGTCATACTGGATTTCAGGTAAGTCTACACAAACCCACACAACAGATGACAGTGAAATATTTGGAATAGTGTGTACCAGTAAAACGGACCAAGCTTGTTTACCAGGTTTATTACAATGTTCAGCATTAAAACAGACTTAATGTATTCCAAATCCCATGTTGGACATTGCTGCTGTACCTGTATAGAAGCATTAAACCTCAGCATACATACGCTTAATTAACTGTTAGTGTACCTGGAAAAACAACAGCTACACAAAAGAAACTTTTCATCAATAATATTAATAATTTGCTTGGATTAAAAACAAAATAAAAAGGGAACACCCCGTTAAATACTCTCACATCTTTTTCTCTCGTTAAATAGAAAATGTCCATCCCACTCTTTATTAAGTGTTTTGTTTCGCCGATAATCACTTTTAAAAAATAGAAAATAAAAACATAAAAATACATTTGTTAATCCAAAGTTTACACCAATGCTGGAGGCACCAAGTCTACCTCTGCGCTCCCACTCCGCATTATTAGTCTGAATAGGACAAAGCCAAAAGTCCAGCATGGCTGCCCCACTTGATTCAGTCCATTTGTCACATAGCTTCAGTCAGAACCAGGCGGGTGCTCTGGATCCCAATCCTCCTATTAAATGGTTTATTTTGCCAGTTGTGTCCAGTAGAGGGCAGCAGTGTTTCATAATTCAGAGTTCCCACCTGTTACATCCATCTGTTGCTTCTCTTTTAAGCTTCCAGAGCCAACATCACATTGTCCAATTTTCTTCTTCATGAACATGCTGTACACTGCAATAAATTCAAGATGGAGTGCCTGGCACAAAATATGAAATGCTGAATTGTCCACAGAGCGTCTAACTGCTACCGAATAACTCGCTGATCTGTGTCCCAGTGTCCCATCACTGTGGAAGTTGCTTGTCACCAGAGATAAGATCAAGTGTCACTAAGAAAACATCGGTACTCAAACCATTTAAACAGCGTCTTTAACATCTGATCCTGTATCAGTGATAAGATGGAACTTCAACTTCAACTGCAACATCCTTATTTCTGTCTTCTTTCCTCAGACTCGGGAGGTGACGCAGAGAGAGCGTAGTCGTTGAGCCAGGGTGGCCTCCAGCTCCTCAAGGGGTGATTCTCCACGGGTGTGAAGCAGCGAAGAAGTGGAGTTGTTCCCTTGTCGGGCCGCGGGGGGTCCCAACAGCAGGCCCCTGAAGCCCTCTTTCTCCACTAGAGCAGGCATCTGCTGCAAGAAGTAACCTTCACAGAATGAGCTCAGTTCCAATGAACCATGGGCCTGAGAAAAGAGAGGACAACGTTATGTTTTTGCCTCATTAAAAAGTATAGCTGTAAAGTGTCAACAGTGCTGCTTTCCAGTGCAGAACTGAGGACATTTATGATGTAACATGGTCTTTTGTGCCATCAATCGGATTGTCCCGGTTTATGTGTGAAATTAGAATTCTCTCACTTATTATACTGAAGAAATATAGTTTTTTAATGCAAGATCTTTTTTCATTTTAACAAAACATTTCCCTTCCGTGAGTCACCATCGTTGAAGAGGCATATAGAGCTGCTGTATAATACAGTTTGCTATTCGAATAGTTCACATAATGTGTGTGTGTGTGTGTGTGTGTCACCTTGGCTGTTTTGTAGACGCTGACTGCATTATCCAGGTTGATGAGCTGAGAGCAGATGAGTTCACAGTGTCTTTGTAGCACCCCCAGCCGGAACAGACTAGCAGCGGACAACAACTGCAGGAGGAATCACAAGCAAATGTCTTAAAAGTGATACAGCAGTAAAAGACAAGTCAGTTAGTTTGGGCTGTAATTTGGTTACTAGCTTATTTATAAAGACATATAAACACTGATTAAGAATATTCAACAGCCTCCAAATGATCTAAACCACATATCTGTAAATGATGGTTCCGGATGAAATCATACAATTTGTCAAACATTCATGACCTACAGTAAATAGTGTTGCTGTGCAGACAAGCGGTGTTACAACGCAATAGACTGACCTTTGTAATAGAGGTGTGTTCTAAACAGGGTTGGCATTTTTTGGGCTTGTACCCACATGGATGAATGTAGTTATTGGAAGTTGCTTTGGTTAAAAGCATCAGATAGATAAATGTAATCTGATGGTTTAACTGGGGATTTGCGTTATCACAAAATAAACATTGCATATGCACCACATTTAAGGGATTTACAAAAAATCCATGAGGTGTCACTGTGTATATAGTACTGTGCAATAGTACACTGCAGAAAAAACAGTGTGAAGAGGCAGAGCTGGGCAGGAAGCTGCTGTTGTGTGTCCCATATACACACGCGCGGTTCCCATGCTCATTCATTAGATTCTTAGCAAACAACCTTATTTCTTCACAAAAAAGTATTAATGTTTCCATTTAATGTTAATACTTTTATGGTACATGTATAACTGAAGCAACCTGGGATTTCTAACAAGTAAAACGTTTCATACGGCTACTCAGATAGACGGTATTGTATCTGTTGAGCGACTCTCACCTCCAGCAAATCAGGCACAATAGTTTTCAGCGACTCTGTTCCTCCACAGTACAGGTATGACATCATCATCTGTAGAGAGGTAAAATGCCTTATTTAGAAAAAAGTACCGTAGTTGAACTAAATAATGTACATGTTTTGTCATATGCAGTACATCTATCTGCAGTTTATTCCATCAATATTGATTAATTGTGTCTCTCACACACTTTGGGTAGTGTTTTTGAGTATATTTGTTACCTGGAAAATGTTGTACTTGATGTCACTAATCTCAATCTTCTTGTTGGGGCTTCCATCTGGTCCACAGCATGCCAGCAGAGACTTGAATCTAAAAGAAAACAAACATCTTTGTCAAAACCGTCAAGG